GGATAAGAAGAGGCCCCGGGGCTCCGCCAAGGGTTCTGAACCGAGCTTGCGGTGTTAGGCACCATCGGCTCCGCCGAACCCCGTAGGGTTGCCCTACAGAAGTCGGTTCATTTACAAGTTGTTTTTCTTTTCTTTTTTTTTGTAACATTGATGTCCATTGTTTTGTAAAATCTGTAAATACAAGTTTTTCTCAGCCATCTAGAACTTCTTCGGCGTTGCTTCTGCTTCATCGTCAAGCGACCAGCAGGCCAATAGCCGCTATTGGGATAGCGGCGTACGTTTCTTCTGCCACTTTGCTACACCACCGCGTGTGGTGTGCCTCGGGCGCCGAGTGAGAAGAAGTGGTTTCTTCTACATCGAGAAGAGAGAACCTGATTTTACTCGCACTTAGCGTAATAACTACTCGCGCCCCCCTCAACACCGACTATATCTTGCGAGTAGCAGGCTGTGTTCGTGCCCTCTACCCCGCCGAAGCCGAGGAAGTAGTCGTAGCCCTCGCGGTGTACTCCGGGTTCACTACGATCCTCAGCGACTCGAAAACCCCCATCTCCCATTTCGCTCGCGGTACCGTTGCTCCCGGTAAGTAACTGCTCTTTGAGTCCCTCGCTTACCTGGAATACGAGGATCCGCCTCCCATATCCCTTATCTGGGTCCCGGTGCACGCAGGAAACCCGGGGAACGAGGCCACTCACCGACAAACTCGAGAATTTGTCAACCGAGCGGTGGGCCCCGCCACGAACCTAGAGAACTACGGCGAGCCCCTCATATCCTATCCCGAAATTGCTCAGCACTATCGCCTCGCACGTCGAACAAAACTACCACCACATTCCAAACTCACGAAACCACAAGAAATCACATGGCGCCACCTCCAAACTAATTCGTTCCCGTGCCCACGTGTATACGCACACATTTACCCCTATCTGTTCAGTCCGCATTGCTCAAAATGTGGCTCCGTCGCCTCCCTCATTCTCACACTATGGGACTGCAGTGAGGACTCAACCGCGCCTGATCTCCTGACCACTCCCTCGTCCCAGGCATGGGAAAGAGTACTCTGACATACGAGCCTAGAAGTGCAGCTACGGGTCATACAGCGCGCTGAGGAGGTGGCGGCCAGGCGCGGCCTGATCGCCACTTCTCTGTGAATTTTTTTTCGCTTAAATAAAGTTGCCTCTCTCTCTCTCTCTCAGTGTTTTCCTCAGGTTTGGCTTGCCAGGGGTTTCCGCAGGCTTGCCGATGTTTCGCTGCTGCGGTGTCTTTGATGTTGATCTCGATGTTGATCGTGATCTCGAGCTGCATCTGGATGTCCGCCGCTTCTGGAGCGTTGCTTCCTCTCGGTTTGAGCTGAACCAGTGAGGAGGTTTTTCCTGGTTTTGCTCAACTTCTTAGAATTTCTTCTCCGCGTAGGTCCACTCTGTCTGTCTTCGAGGCATCTCTACTCGTGATATTCGGGGAGCCACATTTTTCTGTTCCTTTCTGCACGATTTGTCTCCTGTAGCGTGCTCTTCACCGCATAAGGTGCAGTTCAGAGCACATTTGTGTCGTTGAGTAGGATCACGCATCCCACACTTGGAGCACACGTTGGCCTTCGGAGCCGGGCACACATCGGTGCGGTGTCCAGTTTACTGTAAATCTTGGAAACCTGTACGGTAGGCTTGTATATTTAACAGATCGCCTCTGCGCCCATAAAATAGACACACCTGGGGATCACGTCACCCGTAAATGTTATTCTTGCCGAGTTCCAAGAGCCCAGCATCCTGGCTCTTTCTATCTGCACCACTTGTGTCCGTAATCATAAGTTCGCCATCTGGTCGGCCTGAGTGGTTCCGGGAGATAGTCCATGAACGATGCCTCGCAGCACGTCTTCTGCGTCGTTCACATACGCATTGACGGGGTGAATGTGTCCTCCGATATTCAATTGGTTGATCTCCCTCAGCCTGCCCGCAACTTGTTCGTGTGGCGTGGACAATAATATGACGTTCGATCTGGGGTGGACCCACAACAAAAAAACTTTCTCCTCCAAAGCTGTTCCGGCAGGCCTCTATCACTGCCATAGAGAGCTCTGATCCAAATATATTTTTCACTGTGATGCCCTTGTGCGGTCCCAGAATAACCTTTATGTCTTCCTTTGGAAGGGACGTCGGGCTTGGACATTTTCTGCACTGGAAATTCCGCTTGACATGGCTGTCCCGTGCTGCTTCAACAGGCGGATGGCCTGCTGACATTCCGTTTTTCTTCTATAGTGCCTACTCGGGTTTTTTCTGGCTTTGTTTATGGTTCTTTTTTCTTCTGCGTGAAAGAACGCTGTGCCAGCCCACCCCCATTCAAGTAAGAGCCCGACCCGCGTCTTCGTCGTTCTTGTTATCGAGAGACGCGCCGCTGGACGCTCGTGCGTCGTTACTTGGTTCCTCATTTGACGAGACGCTACCAGCGTCGTTCGGTTGATTCTCCGACACCAGAGATGCGCCGGGTGGGTCTTCGTCGACGTCCATGTAGACGAAGAATTTCTAGGCGTCTTTGTGCATGCATTCTCAGTAAAAACAGGCAAATGGGCCGACCTCCGTTTTTCACTGCACAAGGCGTATAGTCCGAAAGGGAGCTTAAATGGCACTCACCATTGACTTCTGACTCGGTCAGAAAATGTAGGAGAAAGTCAGTCGAATGGTTGTGAGCCAGTCAACGCGCACACACCAGTCGCCGCACCCTGCACGGTTTAGCGTCTCGGCGCCGCCGACCGAAGCCGGTGACACGGTGATCTGCGCGTTCGTGCACGTCGTGTCTTCCAATATTGATAGCTTGTCGTGAAGCAGGTTCAGGTCTCCAATTCTGGGGTCCTTTGAATCCTCGCAACTTCACTAAAAATATGACGCACTCTTTAAGTAGGCTTGAATGAAAATTCCACCTGAAAGCCTTTCATAAAACGGAGAGCGATGTGAGCACGCCCTCATCGTGCTACGCCACCTAGCGGATCTGGAGCCAAAGCTGTCCATTCTCCGCGCGTGCCTGTCCCAAGGAGGATTTCTCTAATCCTCCTTGGCCTGTCCCCACTTCGTTCTCTTCTACAGACTGACCAGCTCCAAGAAAATATTATGCAGCGACCATCATGAATGATCAAATATCCAAAGTCAGTGCTTTCTTTGCCATTGCTCGAGTATATCAGTGAAGGCTCGTGCATTTTCACTTGCGAAATCTCACCCGTTCTTCATTTTCAGCACTCGAGCATTCTGCGTGGCAATGAACCATTTTATATACCGCAGAGTGGTGCCAGGTCTCGCAACTACTTTTTAAATAGACACTAGTGTTCGTGAAACGTCAACTGCGGTTACAGTGCTGACTGTCTAATTTTATTGCAATTACATACATACTTGAATAATACACCAGTGACATTGGGTTAGCGTTAATAGGTTAGGTGCCATGCGCTGAAGTTTATTCACGTAGAAGCGTCAGACTACCACTCTCGCGAGCACCAGTGCTTCCTATCAGCTTAGCACGTCTGGTGTTAACGCGATAGCGTTAAAGAGCCCGTGTCAGGGAATACCCGCCGCTGGCATCGGCCCTGTTGGTTGTGAGCGAAAAATTGTCTAAGCGTCTGTAACGGAAAAATTAAGTTACCGCCATAGCCGTGGGAGGCCGCTACTTGTCCACGCGTGCGCGCGCGATCACACTGAGCAGGCTACGCATTCGAAGAAAAAAATGGCAGCATATCCACGGAGTGAATGATGGAGAGCGGGGCGAAGCATTCGTCCGTCCATTCATTCTTGCTTCCGTCCGTTCATGCGTCCGTCTGTGTGACCGTGTATGCGTCCATCCGCCCGTCCGTGCGTGGGTCGGTTCGTGCGTCCGTCCTTGCGTTCGTCTATGCATCCGCTCCTGCGTCTGTTCATGCGTCCATCCATGCATTTGTCTGTGTGTCCGTTCGTCCATCTATTCAACACTCCAAGTACCACCATCTCGCATCTTTTTATCATATATTCTCCATATAGAAGCACCACCGTCCAGCGGAAATTCCATAGACTAAATGAGAGGTGGCACACGCATACTTTCTTACGGCTTGCGCTTTTGGTCTACTTCCCACCTTTAACCACCTCGACCTCATGGTATATACTAGTTCACTGTATTCATGGCTTGCGGCCCAACGCTCGCTAAACTTTTCTGAACCTAAGGAGGTTGCACCCAGCGAGTATAACGTAGCAACCCTTTCTTGTCAGATAGTGCTCAATGTATATGTCAATGGCTGCTCATGGGGAATGAGAGACAGGAGCATTCGGCTTTTAGTTAACGCGCACGCCGCGAACTTTTTATTGTTCAACAAAGCACAGAAGAAATCTCCCACCGGCACCACCTTGCAGGTCAAAATATAACACTGGTTACACACTACGACTACGACTACGAGGGACAAACGGGTGCCGTTTTAAGAAGCTTCGCCCCTAAAAAATACGGGGCTTGCTGCAGCACCAAAAGCAATGACTCGTGTTCCCTGCTGGCATCGATTACGGTACAGTCGTCTCCTTTCTTCTCTTCTATGGCGTAAAGCTTCAATACATATGGTGATGAAAATAGGGGTGTGCTAATGTTTGCGTTTTAAATTCGAATTGATTAATAATTCGGTTTATGTTTCTGTTTGGTGTTTCAGTAGCTAGTGTCACTACGCCGAATCGTTCCTATTTTTTCTCTTCCCTTGCCGAAACTGTCGTTATTTTCAAGTTTTGTGTAATTATACTCTTTACTATGCGACTCGGTGTTAATATTTTCAGAAACCATTTGGCCCTGTCTCTATGTTAGTTTTTTTTTAATTTTCACTACTCGAACGCTTATGCTTTGAGAACGCTGTGATGTTCACTGAGGGATTGTATGGAGCAATGTGTTATAACGTTAAAAACGACGCATTTTATTTTTCATTCTATTCAAAAGTGGCACAAAGTTAGAGTTACAAATGTGAATTCCCGTCTTCTGCATCGGTAACGTTGACCAAGAAGGCTGCATATATTGATCTTATCTTACAGTTCTGGAACACAAGTGAACTCATCTGGACTACTCATACTACAGCCCCGAGGACGCACCTATGCATGGTTGACAAAAAAGCTTATCTAACTCCATGGAACATTTATTTTTTTAGGTCCTATTTAAAGGATGCATGGTGGGTAAATGTAAAATATTGCTATGTTCAAGCCCATGATATCGCCTACATCGTTCTTCAAAACATTTACAGGTGGTATACTGTGGAATATAAAGGAACCTTTTTCAATATCTACAATAAATCTCGCCTTCCGTTTGACTCTGTGGCCATTCGGTCAACACGTAAGTAAGAACGTAAATATTGCCACTAGGCATTCGCGTAGTATTTCTGATTGTTTGTCCTATGCGCCAAGTGAACCATGTGTTAGTCAAAACTTCTACGTGAAGTCTTTAATTAATGCTTGCCCCCTGCTGTAATTTGAACACAACAGTAATAAATGCTCGTTTCGCCGACAATATGATGTGGATGACTTCCTTGTTGGTTGCTGCTTTCCAAAAACGCAAAATGGCTGTGGATGAGAGTAATAGAAGTTATTGCGTCAAAACAAAATAACACTTAAGCCGTTCATATTGCAAACAAGTGTTCTACAAATAAACGTGCCATTATATTTGAAAATGTTTCTGAGAAAGAAATATCTACAGAACTGGCTAGCATATAGTGTGAGCAGTTCCGTTGACAAGTGCGCTAATGCATAGTGATTAATGTAATACTCAAACACAAATTTATAATGTTTCAAGAGGCCCATCGAATACAGAGCTCTCATGTACACAAGATCGTTATCAGCAACAGAATCGGCAAACTACGCATCTACGTAAGAGTGCGCACTGCCTTGAAGGAGCGCAGTTGGCACTTCACTAATCCACAGAATGTTAAAATGAGGCTTCAAGGGCGATTTACCACAAAGTATGACGCAGGCATCGTGCGTTCTATAAAACAGCCAATGTTTTTTGCACAGACGCTCTTTCTTTTCATTGTAGCAAGGTTGAAATGCCAAATGAGGAGTGAAGCAGAGGTGAAATGACCGAGTGCTCAAATTCTCTAAAAAACTGGTTGCGAAGGACGTACATATAAGAATGCTGTGAGCACGCTTTTCATAACTGGCCGGTATTATTGGCACCAACAAGCTAGACAAAGGAAACTGTTTTTTATCAATTACTTTTCCTTAATCCTTTTTTTTACAAAATGGTTCTACCAAAAGAAGCACGAATTCACCACTTCCTGCACTTACGTCAGGTGACCCTGCTTTTCAGGAAATCGTTTTTCATTTGTCTATACTCTGTCAATGCAACTCCTACAACCATCCAATAGTTCTGTTGCGTATTTACTCTTCAGTTGTCCATAAAAACAACATGGGCTAGTTGCCAAACATACGCTGGGGCGGACCTCTACACATTTAAATAAAACACTCTCTGTCTTTCCGTAGCTTCATTAAGGACAGCCGTTATGAGGGCAGAACAGCCCAACTTAGCGCCGCAGTTCTCCACCAACACCACCACTGGTGCCAATGTCTGTAACATCTGTCATGCGAAAGGAGAAAGGTTACGCAGTTGTAGTGAATGATTAAGGGTGTCTTTCGTTTTTACCACAACAGTGTGAAGGGTGATTTAAGTGAGGGCAGTGCACCGTGACACTCGAGTATTCTACCACAGATCCGTACCGGTGCTTAAAAATGTGTTTCGCAAGAAGACCCGATATAATTGTGCTGTTGTGCAAAGCATCGCGTTAACAGTTGCAATATAGCAATGTAGAAGTGTAAACTAACAACGAAGCGTCAATATTTATCGCGTAAAGAGTGGGTCGTTTGAAACCCCGAAACATTACAGAGGGCTCTGTCATAATTGTTTGGAGTCAGTATACACAGCAGAAGTACATGGCTCACAGACGCATGGAGGATGCATCACGTTGCCACAGAACGACGAATAATGACATAATAAGTTCTACCATACTTCGCAACCGTTATCATGGTTTCTGGCGTGATCGGGATCTTCCAAGTGTACATGTAGCAGTCCCCCCAAAAGACATTACCATGGGCTTTCAAAATCGATGTCCAAGCTTCGCCATGGCTGTGTTGCCCGTACATGCAGGCCTGGCTTCGTGAACTCGCTTCAGAGAGCAAAATGCTTCTTTTTGCAACGTCATAATATTCCTCCCCTTTATACCAACTTTACCCTTGCAGTAGTCACTCAAAGCAGTTTTCTTTCTACCACTGCTATACAAGAAATCCCTTCCGTATTTTTTGTTTTTTTTTCTTTAAATATGTTTGTAGTCCCTAAATTGCTGACAAAACGAGCGTTTGCTTCTTCTGAAGGTCGTATGACTGCTGGTGAGTCTATTGGTTCGCTTTCTAGCCATTAGTTTAACGACCTCCCTGTGCAAATGCCGGGACACTTCTTCAGCCCTTGAACACGCCTTCAAATCGCTTAGTTGTTTCATTCAACCTGATTTCATCTGACCTCTCATGTAAAAGCTCGTTTCTGCGATTGTCCTTCGGGGTAATGAGGGCAATGGTAATGAGGGCATGAGCGTGCTGGGAGGCACTGGTCACGCTGTATGATGTCTGCCCGTACGAATGAACCCTCGTGCATACTGGCTGAAATGAGTGCACTAGGTGAACCTTCTATAAGACTTCGTATGGGATCGAAAGATGACCGAATGTTATCGAAAAGCTATTCTACTCTGTTGGCTACACATATACAGCTTTAGTTTCAGTTAGGTGATGTGCGCGTCGGCTAACACAATTTGTCAAGTGCGCGTGCGCGTGCTTTTCCTGAAGTGTGATTGAGTGTTTATGTATTTATTTATTTTTGTTGCCCTCAATCGCCGAAGCAATACAGAGGGGAGCGGGTCACAACATGAAAAATACAAAGCAGCCGTACAAAGCGTGCTATATGTTATACAAGAACAAATCTACAGCAAAATACCATCACTATTCAGTAAAAAGGAAAAATACGGTAATCAGAAAGAAAAAATATTGAATGTCCTAAAAATGTACAATTATAGCAAAAATATTAATAGTAAAAAAATTAAATAAGCTGCACGAAAATGCCGGCGTATTGGCACATGTAGCAAAAAAGTCATGGAGAGGGGAAATAGGATGACTAGGAGCAATCGGCAAGTAGTTGAGATGATAAATATTGACGAAGAAGGGAGGGATCTGAGATCAGAGTTGACATTGTAGTTTATAACCCACACCAAAAATGGGATCATTAGCGATACGGCATGACCATAGCATTAGTCTGAAAAGCAGTGTCAACCCACTCCAACAGTCAGTTATTCCGGATCGTACTACAGACACACGTCGCGGGCAGCAGTTAGCCGCTGCAACGCTTGATCTCGGTTTTTTTAGCTTCAGATTTGTGCAGTCAAAGGTGCAAATGTGACCTTGCGTGGGTCAGTTATGATGCAAAATACATTTCCACAATTAATAACTATTCGAAACTCAATATCCCGAAACTTCTCAGCGACCGTGGCTCACGAAGTACGACACTAAGCTCGGTTGTTTCATCTAGTGTTAAGTACAACGACTGTTGCACGCGGAATGCAAAGAAGAACCGAAAATGTTTTCAGACAAATGACGAAAATAACGGTAGATATTGTCTACACAGGTATGACTACCGCTCAGCAAGTCAGCATGGTGGCCGCCACATATATGCGGTGACGGCAATAGGTTTTGGGGCAAAACATGCCAAACAGACGTTCTGATTCAAGGCAGCCCTTAACCAACAATCTTCTGTTGAGTTGAACGAGCATGAATAAATTGAGATCCGCATTGATAATCAAGCAATGTAAACGTATTGCATACTATAATTAATTAAAACATTTAGAAAACACAGGTACGACAAGTGTTTCAAGTGTGGCGTAGCTCCTAACGTGTCAGACTCAGGATTCGTTGTGCGTTGAGGTGTTGGGTGCGAGTTAAACACACTTGCGTTTGCTATTTCTTTCTGCCGCAATTCTCGTGTTTCCACCCTAATTGTCATGTCAATTTGACCAAAATATTTCGAAAGAATTTAAAAGACAGACTTTGGCTCATAAACGGGTGTCCTAAAGTGCAGCGCACCCGCGCCCAACGGCCTCCATGCAGCGTGCCAGGGTTCTAATATCCAGCGCCGCACTGGTCGACTAACCAGGTATGGTGCTGGAACACTGCCACTGGGTTTTTCATTAGAGGACACAAGACAGGCGTTACTAACAAGAGTGCTCTTCAGTTTAAGCGCTCCTTTTTCAGGGTTCGTAGATAGCCCAACTGTCTACACGGCTCACCAAGCAACCAAGCGCTATCAACCATAAATCCAATAAATGTGGTGAAAAATTGCGATTCATGCCTGTAACATAATGACAAAATTACTCATTCACACTGCTATGAAGCACAATAATATGTTTGGTGAAAGTATTTAGAAAACTGTTAATTTTATGCAGCTTCACAACGGTGACGGACTAAACCAACGTGGTAAACTAAGAATTAATATTCAGTCTCACAACGCTGACGAACTAAAGCAGCTTGGTCGGTGCACTGAAAAGCACTACGTGCACCCCCAAGGAAGAATTCACACTGAACTGAAGCCATCAGAGCAGCCAGGGAAATCTTTGCATTTCCTGCGGCGAACAAGTATTCTGGCCCGGGCTTTGCGGACTGTGCCAGCATGCAGGCCAGGGCGAGCAACTGTTCTTTTGCCGGGTGGTTTGCGAGCTCAGCCAGCTACAAAGGCCATGACCACGGTGCTAGGTCAGCTTCGACGCGGCGCAGCCGAGTGGTGAGGGCATTGCCTCAGAGCCACGTACGTTGCGATCCGGCAACACAAAGGGCTGAAGTCGAAGCTTTGGTTCTGCATCAGGCACATCATCTCGCAATACACTCTTGAGTGAGCAGTTCCATCTGCTCGTGGCTTCGCGAGCGGCTCATGATATTGTTTCCTGCTGCAAGCATGCTTCGCCTTCACCTCTCGGTATTGTGAAGGCCTCATCGGCTGCTAGTGGAGTTTAGCAGTGAAGTCACGGAGGTTACTAGCGTTAGCAGAGGTTAGCGCTGTTGGACTAAGCATTGTTGAAGTAGTAGATGTACTATTGAGCATTGTAACGCCGTGTAGCAGCTTCCTCGTATTGTCAATAAATCTTTCCTTGTGCGTGGCGTGACTAGAACTACCACACTTTCTTTTGTTTTTCAGCGTAGCTACGAGTTTCATGCACTGATGGCGTCGCGTTTAACATCACCAAAAATGCTTGGCGAAAACTCATGGTACTATGTGTGTTGCACTCTGGTAACCGGTAACGTTCGATCCGA